GCAACAGTCCTCTGCCCTCCGTCTCTCAGAGCACATTGGAGAGAGCGCCCAGCGGTACTACAACCTCGCTATCTCTCACCGGTTCATCAAAGGCCGCAGATCCGAATACGTCGCGGCTGTATGCCTGTACATCGCTTGTCGCACCTCTGGTACCAGACATATGCTCATCGACTTTTCGGATTTGCTCCAAGTGCGCATTCACGACCCTGACTGCAAATTTTATTGAAAGCTAACTCTATTTCATTTTTTGTTTAGGTCAATGTATTCGTTCTAGGAGCCTATTACCTCAAACTAGTCCGCGAGCTCAATATCAACCTACCCCTAATCGACCCCGCGCATCTCATCGCTCGTTTCGCCGCACTCCTTGAATTCGGCGAAGAGACCAATAAAGTAGTTATCGACGCAACCCGTCTCGTCGGTCGCTTCTCCCGTGATTGGATGACCCACGGTCGTCGTCCCGCCGGTATATGTGGCGCATGTCTCCTCCTCGCTGCTCGCATGAATCACTTCCGGCGGAGCATACAAGAGATCGTGCAGGTTGTCAAGATTGGAGACGAAACTGTCAAGAAGCGTCTGGACGAATTCAAGGCAACTCCGAGCGCGGCTCTTACTATGCATGACTTTCGGAATGTTATGCTGGAGGAAGCGGCGGACCCGCCTGCATTTACGCGGGCGCTGGAGAAGCAGAGGGAGGAAGGGAGGGAGGCGGTGGAGGGAGAGGGGAAGAGCACTCGGATTTCTAGGTCCAGAAAGCGAAAACGAGTGGAAACGGAGGAGTCTGAAGATGAGGTGGCCCCACTAGCGACCGAAGAGTCTTCCCGTGCGCCCGTTGACATGACGAAGGGGATCGTCGCTCTCGGACTGGAGGGTCAGCCTGGAAATGTTGGACACCAACCGCCTTTCTACCCGTCCGACGAGGAAGAGCAGGCAGCATTTAACGAGATTGTCAACGATCAACAAAAGGACGAAGGCGATGAGCTGAACGAGGCGGATAAAGACGAGGGCGGGGAGGATGCATTAGGGGAGGATATTGCTGCGGAAGTCTCCGAATTTCTCAACGACCCCAGCAGTTCGAAGTTAGCTGCCGCTCTTGAGGAGGCTGAAACGGAGAGATTGTCTCGGAATGCACAATCGGGAGTCGTCGACGAGTTGCTCGGTCTTGACGAAGATGAACTGGATGCATTTTTACTCACAGATGAGGAAATTCAGAAGAAAACACGGGTGTGGGTCGAATTCAATCGGGACTACTTGGAAAAGATCGCAAGTAAGCATACATTTCAATGTGTCTTATATATATGGATGATTATTTGTAAGATTGATCACATCGCTTTTTAGTGAAGGGGCTAGACGCGGAAGAAGGAGAGGACCATAAGCGCCAGAAGGGTCGCAAGGTTCGATTCCTAGCCTCGTCTTTGTTTTGAGCTTGCTCAAGTTGATTTGTTCTCTCCAGGCTCGCAAGAAACAAAAGCCAAGAGATTCGACTACTGCGAACGGCGAGACGCCGGCACAATCCGCTCGGGCATTGATGCAGAGAAAGAAGACGTTTTCGCGCCGGATCAACTACGCTGCTGTCGAAAAGCTGTTCGAAAAATCTAGCTCTGCGTCCAAAGGCAAATGCCAAGCTGTCGCTCCTTCTTCCGATGATGGTGGTCAAGACGAAAACGTTGAGAATAATGAAAAGTACGACGACGACAAGTTCGACGATACTATGGAACATGCAGGTGAAATGGATGAATACATGGATGATGGGTACCAGGAGGAAATTTGAGCTGTACTTTGCGTTACTGTGTTTATAATTTTATTGTTGGATTAGCGTGAGTCGCGCGTACCTTGAGCGAACCTTGATATCACGTCAGGCTCTACCAATAAAAATGACGCAGATAACACTCCCGAGAATGAATGTGTATGCCTCGATTCGACGAACCGTAAGACTTTGTGGGCCCTACGCGACTTGTGACAAAGTGTCCATCAGCACAAGAATGATCCTCGAAGAGAGCTCGGCTGAAATTTTATTTCAAATTATTGGAGACGAGATGAACTCAGGGTCCTGATTGCAGAGTTCAAAAACTGATCGGGCGAAACTTTTGGAGATCAACTACATCCCCTCAGCAAAATGGTTTTGAGCCACCCCTCTATCGTCGGTCAGTGTAACCAGGTCCTGCCATCGCCGAGCCTCTCTGATATTGTTGCGTAGACGGCTGGTTCCGCGAGATCAACTCACAATGGCCAGGTAAGACGATGATTTCGAGGTGACTCACTCTAGCTGAAACTTTTGTATAGGTCAAGCGATGACTCTCAAGGTCAATCGCATCCTGCACGTCGAAAAATCGCAGTACCAAGATGTGCTTGTGTTTGAGTCTGAGACGTTTGGGAACGTTCTCGTTCTGGACGGAGTGATTCAAGTCACTGAGCGTGATGAGTTCTCGTACGTGGTATTGCTCTTGTTCGGTAGTATCTTGAGGCTAATGCTGTTCAATTCATAGCTACCAGGAGATGATCGCCCACCTGCCCCTCGCTTCCCACCCTAACCCCAAGAAAGTTCTCGTTATTGGTGGAGGCGATGGTGGAGTCGTCCGCGAGGTCCTCAAGCACGACACAGTCGAGGAAGTCGTACTTTGCGACATTGACGAGGCCGTTATCCGCGTCTCCAAGCTCTACCTCCCTCACATGTCCAGCCTCCTAGCCGACAAGCGCGTGACCGTCTACGTCGGTGATGGATTTGCTTACTTGCAGAGGAACACCGCCCAGTTCGACTGCATCATTACGGATTCCTCCGATCCTGTTGGTCCCGCCAAGGCTCTGTTCGAGAAGCCCTACTTCGAGCTCCTCCGTGATGCTCTTGCGCCTGGAGGACATACCAGTACCCAGGGCGAGTGTTTGTGGATCCATCTCTCTCTCATCAACGAGCTGCACCAGACCACTAGCAAGCTCTTCCCCGTCGCCGAGTACGCCTTCACCACTATTCCTACCTATCCATCTGGCCAAATTGGATTCGTCGTCGCCTCAAAGGCCGAGGGCCGCGATCTGCGTACCCCGGTCAGGCAGCTTGAGGGCTGCCGGTACTGGAACCAAGATGTGCATAGGGCGGCGTTCGTGCTCCCCGAGTTCGGCCGTGCAATGCTCAAAGAGGGCAAGGATCTCCGACCTCAACTTGGACGCGTCCTCGAGGCTGGCGCCAAGGAACGCAAAGTGCTCCTCCTTGGAAGCGGATATGTTGCCCGTCCTGCCGCCGAGTACATCTTGCGCGATCCTCGCAACCACCTGACGATTGGTGAGTATAAACACTTTAGCTTTTCGTACAACACTAACAGGACGCATATACTCGTGTGATACAGCCTGCCGCACTCTCGCCACCGCCGAAGCTATGGCCTCCACCCTCCCCCGAGCTACTCCGATCTCCCTCGACGTTTCCTCCCCTGACCTTGAGGCGCAAGTCGCTGCCCACGATATTGTCGTGTCTCTGGTTCCGTTCACCCACCACGCTACGATTATCGAGGCTGCTATCAAGGGAAAGACTCACGTTGTTACGACTTCGTACATATCCCCAGCCATGCGCGAGCTCGATGAGAAGGCTAAGGAGGCAGGGATTGTGGTTATGAACGAGATCGGTCTTGACCCTGGCATCGACCACCTTTACGCTGTTAAGACGATCGATGAGGTGCACGAGAAGGGCGGCAAAGTATGTAAACGCAGTTCAGGTTTACCTGCTATAAGTCTGACTCAAGCTTTGCGTTAGATCAAGCAATTCTTGTCTTACTGCGGTGGTCTCCCCGCTCCTGAAGCCTCCAACAACCCCCTTGGCTACAAATTCTCTTGGTCTTCTCGTGGTGTCTTGTTGGCGTTGTTGAACACTGCCAAGTACTACGAGTCGGGTGAGGCCAAGACTGTAGTAGGGAAGGAACTTATGGGTGTGGCCCAGCCGTATTTCATTAACCCCGCTTATGCGTTTGTTGCATACCCCAACCGGTGAGTCTGCTGTCCAGATACTAGTAAATACTCAATATTCTGACTCCCGGCTCGAATCGTAGTGACTCCACGCCGTTCCGTGAATGGTACAACATCCCCGAGGCCGAGACTGTCGTTCGGGGCACTCTCCGCTACCAAGGCTTCCCCGCTTTCATCAAGGCCTTGGTGGAGATTGGATTCTTGGATGACAGCAAGAAGGACTATTTGTCTGAGGGTGCGGAGATCCAATGGGCGGACGTGACCGCAAAGGCCGTGGGCGCAGCATCCAGCGACGAGACGTGAGTGCACCTCATCTCATCATCTGGATTCAGTAACTCATGTTTATTTTAGTGCAATAATCGATCGCATTAAGCAGCTCGCTTCATTCCCCGACGCTTCTGAGGAGTCCCGTATTATCTCTGGCTTCCGATGGATCGGTTTGTTCTCGCAAGAGAAGGCGACTCCGCGCGGCGGGAACCTTCTTGACACGCTCTGTGCGCGCTTGGAGGGACTGATGGCGTACGAGGAGGGAGAGCGTGATCTTGTGATGTTGCAGCACAAGTTCATCGTCGAGTGGGCTGACGGCAAGACCGTAAGCACGAATTCAATTACCCATAACGTCAGCGCGCATTTATTGAACTATTATCTCGTCTCTAGGATATTCTCACTTCTACGCTCGAGGCCTACGGAGAGCGTGGAGGCTACAGCGCGATGGCCCGCACTGTGGGTGTACCTTGCGGTATTGCCGTGCAGCTCATCCTTGATGGTGAGGCCGCGCTCACGAAGCCCGGTGTGCATGCACCCTACACGAAGGAGATTTGCGACCCGCTGCGCGAGAAGCTTGAAGCTGAGGGAATTGGTATGGTGGAGCGAGTGCTGTGAAGAAATAAGCTTGTAATATATACGCCGAATGTATAGAGGCGAACTTGAATATCAATAAGGAACTAAATCACAAACACATCAGCTTAGAGTGACTTGAGGATGCGCAGCTGAAGAGCTTGAGATATCTTGAATTGAACGAGATATATGGTACATGTGTGCGGTAAATCTGGTAAGCCCTTATAGCTCAGTGGTAGAGCGCATCACTCGTACTTCGTCCCTGAGGTCGCACATGATGAGGTCCGTTGTTCAATCCAGCGTGAGGGCAACTCTTTTTGTCATTTTCCATCACAGATGGACCCTTTTTACCCTGGCAAATTATCAGGAATTCGATATTTCCAATTGGCTCAACAAGTCATTTCGATCTTGCTCCCAACTCCTACACCGGCTCCTGCTTCCCTCAACTTCACACTTGCTATCACTATGGTTCGCGGCTCTGGTAAATTTAAGCAGAAGCGTGGAGGCGGACGTTCTTTCTCTCGAGACATGGTGGTAGACAGCGATGGCGTTGCGAGTGGCACTGATCGCCGGTGAGTATTGTGCATCAATCTAGCCACGAGATGATATCGTAATATAGCCCATGTTAGTGCGAACCGCCGCAAAAAGCAGGAGGGCGAAGAGGATGAAGATGAGGATGAAGATGAGGACGAAGAGGAAGAAGATGAGGAGGAGGAGGAAGATTCCGAAGAGGAGGAGGCCGCTGGTGGCAGTTCGGCTCAGCCCGAGTTGAGTCGTGCGGAACGCAAGGCTTTGAAGAAGAAACAAGGTACGAAGCAAAAGAGCGGAGCGATAAATACGATCAAGGAAGATGGGAGTGGGGAGGAGAGCCAGGACGATTCCGATCTCATTAACCCTAACCATGTTGCGATGAAGAACATGTCGATCTCGGATATTAGTGCTCCGAGGGAGCTGTCACGCCGCGAACGGTGAGATTTCTGCTTTCTACTCAAGCTTAGTAGCTAACGCAAGTTTACTGTACATAGGGAGGCTAAGGAGGCCAAAGAAGCCAAAGAGAAATATTGGAAGGTTAGCGTGCTAGATATGCGTCGACCAATGTCCCCCACTAATTCACTTCCAATCTTATTAACAATGGCGATCTACATTTAGCTCCATCAAGCTGGCAAAACCGACCAGGCTAAGAGCGACCTTGCTCGCCTAGCGCAAATTCGTAAGGACCGAGAGGCTGCAGCGGCACAGCGTAAACAAGAGGCGGAAGGTGAGTGCTTTGTGATAGTTAATCGTGTGCAAGTTGATTGATTGTAATTTGGTATGCTCAGCCAAGGCAGCCGAGCTCGAAGCACAGAAGAAGGCAGCTAGCCAACGTCGGCGATGATCTCATTGTTATAATGTAAGTGGCAGATTGATTAAACTTTTAATCATATAGACTCTGACACAGCGTCATAGCTACGACTTGATGACTGTATTGATCTGACAACCAGGTGTTGTGTCCAATTGCTATATGCGATCAATGAATGAATTTGTCAAAATGAATGTTACGCGTAAGATACAAACGCTGAATACGGTACAACGATAGGGAAGGAAATTCGGTGGTACGTGTTTGAGTGTCCGGTCACAATTGAAGTAGCTAAATCGTATAAATCTCCAGAGAGAAGGTGCTCCAACAAACTAAGCAATGCGGCAAAATTACCCGGTAGGCAAACCGTACAATCACTACACCCCTAAATCTGGTTTGATCTCGGGGGCATATACTCCGGTGGGTTTAATTCTCCACCATCCACAGCTCGAGGCAAACGCGCGACGACGTGTTCGGCTAGTAGGTCATAATCTAGGACAGGTCCCTGGTTATTAACTGGCGCAACGGGCGGATGCTCCGAGCGTTCAGACTCGTCGTGCCCTGTCGTGCTCTGAGGAGCACCTGCTTCACTGGGGATGTGTGCCTGTGACCCTCTCTGCTGCTGCTGCTGGTAAAACTGGCCGACATACATGATCTCAGGTTCGATGACCACCGAACCACCTTTGGACGGCCGTGCGACGTATCCTGCGGGCGGTTGCTGGAAGCGAGACAGCGTGATTGACGAACCCGAAGACAGGAATGGCTCAGATACGTAACCCTCGTTGCTGTCACTCTTTAGCTCGTCGATCCCATTTGGGTCTCGGTCGCCTCGGGCAGGATATTGGTCGCGATGTTGGCGCCTCCGTCGTAGGTACACAAAGAGGCCAGCAATAAGTGCCACTAGTACTAGAGTTGCGGCCACGGCGGCCCCTGCAATGGTGCCCGCGGGAACTGGGTGAGTGTCGCTACCGGGTGTTTCAGTACCATTGATATAACTTGGACTTTGAAGACAATACTGACGATTGATTGCTGGTTCCCGTACTGGCGCTTCCGGAGCTGCTGACACCACTAGCGCTGCTTGAGGAATCTGGGACTGTTGACGAGTTGGTTCCAAAAACGGTGAAGGAGTTCAAGCTAATGGTTGATAGGTTGGGATCTTTCCCGACATCGGCGATCGTTACTTTGTGCACCTTGCTTGGGTCCAGACCGCCTTGGAAGTAGAGGGGGGTGTCACCAATGATCCACCATGCCGAGGCATTGTAGGTCGTAGCAGGACCATCGTCGAGTGTCTGTTCATTCAACGGTGAGATATTTTATTCGATACTTAAAATATGATTAACTTACCACAGTATACCTAAGTAATCGCTCTAATGGTAAGCCCACGCATATATGCAGCCATGACAAACACACTCACAGCCAGTGTCCCCAGTTTAGCGGACCGCTGATCATGACTGCCTGTCCTTGGAACTCTAGCGAAGCCGCAGACCCCGTGACCTTGGTCTGGCGGTATGGTGCAGGTGCAGTAGTGGACGGAATAGATTTGTCGTTGACCTGCGCCCAGCTGCCCAGATACGAAATAGAGGAGTTTCCGTTGTCATAGACGTCCGCCTTGCCTGGATTACTATCGATACAACTTCAGCAAATTGAACGATGGTGCGAATCTTTAGCACTCCACTCACCCGGATGGTGCCGTTAATGTGACCACGGCCTTATCAAAGGAGAACGCGCTGCCCTTGGAACCTCCAGGATGTGGTTTAAGAGTTACACTGTGTTGTCCCTCTGCGAGGTCTTCGAGCACAGCCAGTTGACCATCGTTAGTGGGGGAGTAGGTTGGATATTGCTGGCCATCCAGAGCGAGATCATAGGTGCAATTGGCTCCGCCGTAGAGGTACAGAGCGTTTCCTAACAACATCGTAAGTCGGCTGCATTCCTTGCGGACAGCTAACGAGCTCACCATAGAACGATAGCGAAAGAGTTGTGTCGTTGTTCCAAGTTACATGAGACGAATCTCCGAGTGGAGTATTCCCGCCCGCCTGACGAAAACCTGCGGGTGAAACGTCAACAACGCGTTGGCGACTTGTGAACTTTGAAGTATGCCACAAACCAGACACTGAATAATACGTCGCCCAGCCAGCGCTGGCAGCTCCGTCACCTTGAGGCTTCACGTTAAACATAGCTAAATGTTTGGGCATAGGCTAGACGCACCATAAGGAAGGTAAGTGAATACTGGACTGGAGTCGTCCAGCGTTACGTTCCACTTCTGGTTAATAGGCATAGTCTGCCAAGAAAAACGAAAGTAAAGAGAGACGGGGGTGTGGGAGTTGAACTTGCAAAACGAAGAAGGGACGAGCAAGGCCAACAAGCTCTGCCCGGCACTTATCTGATTGATGTAGCTAGTAGTTGTTTCAACAATATATCCGCCCTAAACTTTCTTGGCTTGGAATGTTGGTTGTGAACCCGTGCTCGGCGTACTCGGTCATCGGTGATGGCCGAGAGCTGAAACCCGGATAGCGTACTCTTCCTTCGCCCAGGGGATCTTTCAACATACTATACACAAATCAATATGAAGTCGAGTGTCTGAAAATCCTCCGACATAGTTATACGTGATAAATGACAGGACTCAAAACAAATATAGTAAAGGAACAACACATCCATAAAATTCAGCTCAATCATAGATGCAACTATTTCAAAAACTAATACAATTACTGTCAGTCTCTTGTCCTCTTTTGGCAACTCCTCCGGGTCTCATTGATCATCAGTACTCCCTGGTGACCAAGTACATAGGTAGAGCAACAACATATTTTTGACTCGAAATCCACGATGTCGCAGCGAGTGGTCTCATTTGTTCTAAACCACACGTTGATTTTGAATAACATGATTCACAACCCACGTTCGCACGGATAATCTTGTATGTTGGGTCTGTCCGTCCCGGAATTCACTGAGTTGTAACCCAGTGAGAATACAGGCGGGCCAGCAAACTTCCACTATTAGATCGGCCTGATGCCAATGACCGAACAGCGCTGCCGACTCTCACTAGCGCCCATTGATTCCATATATGAAGTTTGTTCCCAGCTGGAAGGTATCCATCGTTTTTTGCAGAAAAAATAAAGCCAGTCAAAACAAGTAGCGAGTTAATCCCCAAAGGAACAAAGTCTGACGCCAAATAGTTGACTGATTTAAATCTTAAAAGCTGAGAGAGTCTTAATTCGGGAACGCGAAGGTGCGAGTTGCATTTGGCTTGGTAAGCTGCGCATATATTTAGCTTTAATAATGAATTCCGGCTCTGAATATGGCTGTCACTTGAAGCTCATGCAGCGGTTATGGTGTGCATGCTTATTTACCCGATGTGGCAGTTATAGGATTCACAACCAATTCATGTGATTCAAACAAACACCTGTGCATTACGAGGTAAGAAAAACGAAACAACACATTCAAGCGCCACACTAGAAACTGCTCCAATTATCCTCCCGCAATCGTCTAAACACCAAACCTAACAGATCGACACTCAACCAAGGAGAAATAATTATACGGTGCCGTTCAATGAGAGGACGTTATGACCTCCCCAGAGGCATATGCCGGGTTATTTAGAACCTGTGGGCGCAGTTTGTGTAGGAGGGAAGCCATAGCTCGTCTGATGCTGAGGATGCGGTGATGTTCCCTCGTGCCCCTGCATAGCGGGAACGTATGCAGGCTGCCAGTTCCCCTCATCATCATCATTATATGTATGCAGTGTTGTAGCACTAGCTGTAAATTCCCTTGCAGTGGGAGTGGCGGCAAAGTGCGAAGCGGGGATGGGCGGGTCGTATGCGTGGTCTTTGGCATCTCGGAGCGGGTCGAGCTCGGAGGGCTGATAGGTCCGTTCGAGAGCGCGGTCGGCGGAGCGGACTGAGAGGACCGGTAGAATCTTGAAGGAAAGTTAGGTGGGAAGTAGGGGCAGAGTGTATGAGACAGAACGTACGTGATCAACTATAGTT